TCAATGGATAGCAATTATAACAGGATGATGATTGAGAGAATCGCCAAATGTGATGATTTTTTGAGATTAATAAAAAAAATTGTGAATACTGATGAGAATTAAAGAGAAAAACCTTGTATGCTTGTAGGAAAAAAGTAGATCATAACATTTGCAGAAAAAAAATTAGTACAGTTGGAGAAACCTCGTATAAAGGGGGTCACGTTATTATGTTCACTTCATGGTATCATAGCAGCTAACACACACACATTTTAAGATGAAAACTGATCCAAATTTTCCTTTCTTTCTCCCGAAGGACATTATCGAAGAGATGTGCAGCCTCATAGGAGTACGAAATCCCAACGAACAGGAGGAGTACAGTTTGTATTGCATCGTCGAGGGAGACACCTTCACCATGCCGCTGGCCAGAGAAGAGTACATTCTCGACGTCACGACAGAACTCCTGAAGAACCAACAGGTAAGTGGGGAGGCTGTGAGAGGGGTTTTGGAGTCTAGAGAAATTGTTTTGGGGGGAAAGAAGAAATGTTTTTTTTGTGTTTGTTATGAATGTGGGGAGGCTGAGAGGAGTTTTGGAGTCTAGAGAAATTGTTTTGGGGAAGAAAGAAATGTTTCTTTTGTGTTTGTTATGAATGTGTGTGTGTGGGAAGCTTGGTGTTGGTATTGATGATTTGTAATAAAGATATTTTTATTTTTTAGCTGTCTGTCCATTTATTTTTTATGAATATATATATGTGAGGCTTGATGTCATTTATAATAAATCACTTTTTTTCATCAATCTCTTCGTGTAATTTTTGATGAATATAGATGTGAAGATTTGTGTTAGAATTTTCAAATTACTGTTAATAATATTGTTTGGAACGAATCAAATAGAATATAAATTCGGATGTAAATCATCTCGAAAACAAACCAAAATATGAATCAATAAACTAGCCCCCCAATAAATGTTTATTAATGAGTTTCCTCTTCTTAAGTGGCTTTTGGGTCATCAGTTAACTTAATCAGTGTAGAAAACGAGTGTTGACATTAAATGTACTTTCTCAACTTTCAGACAAAACGCCTTTTTTTAACGTTCCCGTCTCTTTCTCTCTCTAGGTCTTCTACCTGATCTTCTGCCGGAGCGTGTGGTACTACCCCCTCCGCTCGGATAACGCCCTCTATTACGAGGTCGTGTTCAACCAGATCGCGCCAGACTACCTCGAGGGACTGCTGCTCGTCACGCCCGGGGAACAGCTGCAGCAGGATGTCATCGTGAGTGCTGTTGTCTTCGGGTGATTTTGGGGGGGGAGGCGGTCGAGGGGGTGTTGTTGTTATTGTTGTTGTTGTTTTTTTTTTTTTGGGGGGGGGTGATTTAGGGGGGTGGGGTGCGATTAGGGGGTCTGGGGTGGGATTTGGGGGGGGGGTATTTGGGAGGAAGTGGTGGGGGTGATTTTGGGGAGGGCTAGTGTGTCGGTTCGGGGGTGATTGGGGGGGGGGGATGTGTGTCGGTTGGGAGGTGATTTAGGGGTTACGGGTGGTATTTGGGGGTCTGGGGTGTCACTAGAGGTGATTGGGGTGTAATTAGGTTGGGATCAGGGGGATTTCAAGGTCGATTGGGGGAGATTGGTCTTTAGGTTGGGATTAGGGAATCTTAAGGTCGATTTGGGGTGTCGTTAGGGTGGGATTGTGGATCTGGGGGTTGATTGGGCTTACGGTTGGGGTTGGGATTAGGGGGGGTTATGGTCGATTGGGAGGGAGATGATTGGGGTGTCGTTTGGTTGGGATTCGGGGATTTTGGGTGTGATTGGGCTCCAGGATTAGGGAATTTTTAGAGTCGATTGGGGTGTCGTTTGGGTGGGGATTAGGGAATTGGGGGTGTCGATTGGAGTTGTTTGGGCTCTCCGGATTAGGGTATTTTTAGAGTCGATTGGGGTTGTTTGGGCTCTGGGGATTAGGAAATTTTTAGAGTCGATTGGGGTGTTGTTTTAAAGTCGATCGGAAGACTTGGGTGTCGATTGGGAGAGATTGGTCTTTGGTTCTGTTCGATCGAATCTGTTTTGTTGCTTTTGGTTGGGATTTTTGTTTTCGAAGGCAGATGTTGGGGAAAAGGTATGTTAAGGTTGTCTCATTGGGCGATAGGTAGCTGGTCAAGATATTGTAACTTGTGTGTGTGTTATGTATAGTATTGTTTTTATTTGTATTTGTTTTAAGGTATTGTATTTAATAACACTTTAAGTGAGGTTAGTCAAGTAGGAAGGTAAATCACCGTCTTTGATGTGGTTTTCTCCAAATCTGCAACATAAATACGACGCACAGTCATAAGTCTTTCCCCACTTTCCCCGCTTCTTAACCCTGCCCCCCACTTCCACACTTCCTAACTCATTTCCCACTTCATATCCCCCCCACACACACACAAACTTCCTCACTTCCCCACTATTTTGCCCCTTCCTAACTCCCATCCCCACTTCCTTCCCCAACTTCCCCCCACTTCCTAACCCCTTCTCTTACCTTCCCCAATTCCCCAACTCCCTTCCCCACTCCCTAATTCCCTTCCCCAACTTCCCCACATCCCTTCCTCACCTCCCCAACTCCCCCCCCCACATCCCCAACTCCCCCCCCACATCTCCAACTTCCCAACTCCCTTCCCCACATCCCCAACTTCCCCCCCAACTTCCTCTAACCCCCCTCTCTTGCCTTCCAGTACGACATCGCCAAGGTCGCCGCCCTCCTGCACCGCGCCGCCGACCTGGAGGACGTCCCCACGATGAAGGAGGTCAAGTACCTGCTCCCGAAGCCGGCGCTGACGGTGCGGGACGTGAAGCCTCCGCAGTGGGTCAACATGGTGCAGTCTGCGTGGCCGGAGGTGTCGGCGCTCACCAGCCTGCAGGCGAAGGCGCAGGTTCTGGGTGAGTGTTGAGGCGGCGGAGGAGATGCTGTTTTTTTGCGATTGTTGTTGTTTTTTGTTTTGTGGTGTGGTTTCATGGTTCGTTTTTTTGTGTGTTAATGATCTGTTTTTTTATTGTTTTGTTTCCCTTTTTGGATAAATTAGATTTTTTTTTCCGTGGGAGTTTTTTTTTTTTTAATGCTGATTTATTTAGTTGTGAATTAACCAAAAATATCCTTTCATCCATACTTGAGTGAAATACCAGATCATTAACAGTGTATTCATTCCTATTTATCGATTTATTTTATTACATTTATTTACTTGTTTACTTTTTTCCAGAAATCCTGCAATCGTGGCCGCTGTTCGGGTCGTCCTTCTTCGCGGTGAAGCGAGTGACGGAGCCCAAGGAGCGCTCCGACCACATCCTCGCCCTCAACAAGAACGGCGTCCACTTCCTCGACCTCCTCACGCATGTAAGTCTTCGTGGGCGGGAGGGGATGGAGGGAGAGGGTGAAGGAGCACTGGGTGTGTGGGCTGATTTTTTTTTTTTTTTTTTTTTTTTTTTTTTTTTTTTTTTATTGAGGGGGGGAGGGGGGATCTCATTTTCAGTGTTTCTTTCGTTCAAATTTCTGTTTTGTCTTTTCTTTTTCTTTTCTTTTTCGTTTTTCTCTCTTCTGTTGTTTCCCTTATTTCTCATGTTTCGTTCTATACTCTGTCTCATTCTTTCTGTTTTTCTTTTTATTTCCTTCGTCATTCTCTCTTTTTTTTCTTTTTTTTTCTTTCAGCTTTATCTGTGAAGTCTGGAGTTGAAATATATTTTTGCCTTCACGATTATGACATACTGTCATTGAAAATTAAACATTAACTCAATAAAGATATAATAATGATTTTTTTTCATAGTATTAAACATTTTGATATCCATAGAAGTTCAATTTAAAGATTAACTGACAATAAAAAAAAATGGGAAAGCCTCCAGGAACCGAACGAGATGATATCAGATGAATAACCCACGCCCTTCCCCCCCCGCAGGAGACCCTGATCAAGTACAGCCTGGCCGAGGTGATGAGCACGCGCAAAGTGAAGAGCGAGGACGAGCTCTACCTGGACATGAAGTGCGGCAACCTGATGCAGCAGCGAATCACGCGCATCCAGACCGAGCAGGCGCATGAGATCTCCCGCCTCATCCGCCAGTACATCACGATCGAGCAGCGCACGACCGGCCATTCCCGAGGTGACAATCCCAAGGACGTGACGCTCTCGAGATGAGTCCCGAGAGAAGGCGAAGGACGGAGGAGGAAGGAGCACTCTGGCGGGGGCGCAGGGGAGGTTGTTTTAGACTTGCGTTCCCCGAGAAGTGGATGTGAAAGGAAGACATTTCGAGGGCGGCGAGGCTCTTAGTTGGGCTAATATACCGGAGAGACTGCTACATATATATATATAATGTTTATATATATAAAGATCATATCATATATCATAAGTGGAACGAAAATACTTCTATATAATTGCAATAATGAACCCTCAGTCTTACGCACCCATGTACAGTCTTTCCCAAAAGAGGAAAACGACGACATGAATGCTCAAGTACACGATTTTTTAATGCCATGTAAGTATTGACTTAGGCGAGTGTGGGTGCTACATTGGTGTGAGTGTTATCACATCACATGGTTGTATTCCCCGTAGTGACAGGGCGTTGTTTACTGACGTTTCCCATTACAGGGGGAGTCGAGAACCTAAACTCCAGTATTTGACTTTTTTATCGTGAATGAGATTGATGATGATGATGAAGAAGGTTTTCGTTGTTGTTTTTTTTGTTTTTATATTGTGAATAGTGAGATAGACTTTTTTTTAATGTGCTGACTTGACCTTTTGGGGGTTAAAAAAAAGACGTTTTATGCGATTTTTACATGATTCTGATCGCGTTTTTTTTGAGATGGTTTATATCTAGTATATGGTATATATGTGTGAGAAGAGATGGTGCATCGTGACTGAAGTGTGCATGTCAAAGAGAATGATAAAAAAATAAGTGTGAAGTGTGACTCTGATAGAAAGTTAAGTACTGATGCCATATAGCCTGTATGATATAAGATTTTTTTTTTATTCCGCATCAAATGATTTTTCCCTCTCTCCTGCATCATTTTTTTCC